GAAGAATCTATTGTGGTTTTGGATCAAACGCATAAATAAGTTCCACTTAATTCTTTTAAAGGAAGTGTTTTAAAGGCTGTTCAAAAATTCTGTTTTATCAAAACAATCATCAAAAAAAGTGTAAGCATTTTCAAGATTCGATGTGCACACATGTATGCAAACCATACAAGATATGCACGAATTGGGTCATATTGTCAAATAGAATGTGCGCACTGCGCTTCAAAGAACTATGTTACGTGAGTTTTATACAAAATACTATTCGCATAAGTAAACACGTGATGCAAAACCGACCGAACATCTAATTTTTTGTATTACGTATAGATAGATAGATAATAATAGTCATCTGGAACTTTACAAGAGTAACAATAATTAGATTCAAATAATTTTTTACATATGCATAATTAATTGTCTGGAATTTCTACAGAATAAATTTGGTTACTTTGTTGAATTATTTTCATGTTTTCTAACCGCTCTGTGATCTCTAGTGTATTGATCAATCTGCTCGTGTACATGTGATCTGGATATTTTAACAGTATACTCTGTAAATCTTTTTGAATATTTCCGCTTTGTACATCTTTTTGAATATTTCCGCTCTGTAAATCTTGTTGAATGTTTCCGCTTTGTAAATCTCGCTGAATATTTCCACTTTGTAAATCTTTTTGAATATTTCCACTTTGTAAATCTTTTTGAATATTTCCACTCTGTGTGTCTCGTTGAATATTTCCACTCTGTAAATATTGAATATTTTGCTATTTAAATCTGGATATTTTGATGGATGTTTTGATGATTTAATTATTCTATCAGCATACAAGAATTGTTTTTTAATTTCATTTTAATTTTCATCAGATATGTCAACAATCCATTTACCAAATTGTTGCATGATTTCTTTTGCTTCTGGTCGTTGTTTGATATCAGAAGCCATGCACTGTTTAGCCAATACAGCGTAGCAATTAGGAGTTCCAGGAGTAAATTTAGGTCTTAATCCACGATAAATTTTCACTGCAAGGTCAACATCAAACGGTTCACCGTCAAAAGGTCTTTGTCCAGTTGAAATTACCCACATGATGATACCAAGACTGTAGATATCAGCCGCTTTTGTAAGCAG